ACGATATATAAAAGAAGAAGGCGCGTCGAGAAATCTCAATGCTGCCTCATGCTGCTCGCTGTGCTCCGCACTGTAGAGTATTTTGGCGAGGCGCGTCCTCCGGACGCACGCGGTCAAGAGAGGGATCGCCAGCCGACTGAAACGAATCCTCTTAGAAAGCTCGAGTGTACGCTCTCTCTGACGTAGCCGGGTGATGACCAGGAATTGTTTTGTTGTTCCTCTAGATTGCAGGCTGAATTAGTTGACAAGTTGGTTTGGTCCTACATGACCAGGAAAAAAAAACACGAACCCAATGAGAGGCCTCTCTCTCTCTCTCTCTTTCTCTCTCGCAGTCCAATCATCAACCCAACACAAGGGAAAGAAACGTGTCGCTAGTGAGTAGCGTGTCGCTCCGCTCCGCGGGGCGGGAGGCTGGGAAAAGTTCGAGACGTTGACGCCTGAGGATGGGAAATTGGATAGCGTGTCGCGCCGAAGCGCGGTGGACCAGAACCAGCGGAGCGATACGCTAAGCCAAAGTTCCTGATAACATTTCCTACCACCTTTGCTCCTCGACTCGCTTCCTCCGTCTTCTTCACCCCCCTCCCTGCTGCTCGTCGGCGTGTGCGCCAGGAGTACCACGCTCAGCCGCGCGGCACGGGCGCGGGCCAAGCGGGCACAGCAAAACGCCTGAGAGACCAGCTGAGCTACGAGAAGAAAGGGGTCTTGCGCGAGAGATGGCACAGCGACCTGACGCGGTGTCTTACGCGGGTCAGCAGCGCGGCACGCTACGTTGGAGACTGGGGCGCTTACGCGCGGCCTTACGTGGGCAGCTTATACCTTATACACGAATGCCGCCGCAGTGGGACCCGTTCTTCTCCGTCGCTCCGCTGGCGGGCACAACACCCGTCCACGAAGTCGGGGACCTCGACTGGTGCGCACACCGTCCGGGGGAACAGCGGGGCACCCCGGAGGGCACCGCCAGGCAACGTCCACACCCACAGCTGCCGGAGCCCTGCCCTGGGCTCCCTGGGGACTGGTGGATCCCCGGATACGCTCCCGCCTTTCGGGGCGGGCGGATACCTTCGGCGATCTGTCCTCCAGAGGTCCGCGAGATCCCAGGGCACGGGATCTCCGCGGCACCAAGGAGCTCGTGACCATGGACTGCTCCAACAATCAGTAGGCTGACAGCCTGGTGGAGCTACACCGCACCTGGCAGCGGTGACCTCTCGATACGAGGTTTGGCCCAGGAGACGGCAAAGAGCATCCCGGAAACGATGCCTGAGCTTTCGGTGTTTCTGGAGGTTTGGCCGGTAGGGCGAGGCATGATCGAACGCACCCGCTTGGAGGGACGGCTTCCTAGGGGGGCATCGGTTCGTGGCGAGGGAGCTCTGCGACAGACTCCCCGACATCCAAGACGTGCTCCATGACCAGGGGCCCGCAGCAAATGCAACCAGAAGAAATACGAATCCAGCGCCCCCCTCCATACCGTCTATTGAATACTAGATGGCCATGGCTCGTATCATTGTGTTCTCCTCGTATGGAGAGGTGCTCCATCGAAGAATTAGAGCGGTGCCGTGATGAGGAGCCCAAAGCCTTGAAATGCATTTGATTATTTTTGAAATGTTGACAAACGATTGTTGAAAACTCGGTGGTTACGCCAACACGGCTCGAGGTTAAAGCTGCAACCGCAAGCTAAAATACCACAGTCAATGTTCCAGGGTGAGGCTGTACCGCGATCGCTCTGTTGCGTCAGCTGCCGAAATTCGTCGGTCGTTCCACGAAGGGCCCCACAAGGAAACTCCTCCTCCTCCTTCCTCCTCATCCTCCTCATCCTCCTCCTCGTCCTCCTCCTCCTCCTTCCTCCTCCTTCCTCCTCCCTCCTCCTCCTCCTCCTCCTCCTCCTCCTCCTCCTCCTCCTCCTCCTCCTCCTCCTCCTACTCCTTCTCCTCCTCCTCCTCTTCCTCCTCCGCCCTCCTCCTCCTCCTCCTCCTCCTCCTCCTCCTCCATTCCTTTCCCTTATAAATAACTTTTTCCTGTCGCACCCCGAGGCCAGTTCTTAGGGCAGACCAGGCGTTTCGCCTGAGAAGTTCTCACCACTTATAACCCTGAAGCTTAAACAATGGCAACAGCTTCACAGATGGAGGGCGGGTCGTTTTCAAAATGTGGTTCTCGCATTAATGCCGCGCACATGCCCTGAAAAGATTTGCAAGAGCTTCACGGATTGAGGCCAGGTCGTTTTCAAAATGTGGCTCTCGCCTTAGCGCCGCGCACATTCGATTTTAACATGTGCAAGAATTTCACGGATTGTGGGCGATGCCTTTTCAAAATGTGACTCTCGCCGTAGCGCCGCGCACGTTCGTTTCAAAACTTTGCGAAAGTTTCACGGGTTCCCATGATCAACGCACCAGAAATGGCGTTTGGACGGATTAAGGATTATGCGGGTGCAACGGTTATGTTGATTCGCAGTGTTGAAGACCCAAAAATGGTGTTCTGACACGAATCCGACACGATTACAGATCGCCAGGACGCAGCAGTCAGGTTGATCCGTGGCGTGGGAATTCCGAGAACAATGGTTTGGCATGCTTCAAGGTCTTCAAACGGTCGTCTTCCAACGAAGCAGTTCCCTCAAAGGAAATGAGCCGTTGTAGGGGCCTATGAAGAGGGAGCTTGGAGGGAGGGTAAATTCCAACATCGTTGACGACTCTTGGTTTCACACTGGTCCTCCTCCTCCTCTTTTCCTCCTCCTCCTCCTCCTCCGTTTCCTCCGCCGTCTATGCATGACCCACTGCGCCCCAGTAGGGTCCGATCGAGCGAGAAGAAGAGGAAGAAGGAGGAGAAGAAGAATCAGGAGAAGGAGAAGAAGAGGAATAAGAGGAAACACATATTACAAATAAAAACAATCATGTGATAATAATAATTAAAATAATAATGATAATAATAAAAAATGATCAGAATGAGAATTATTATAATTATACTAGGAACATACTATAATAACAAAAATACTAAACAACAACAACAACAACAACAACAACAACAACAACAACAACAACAATCACAACCACAACCACAACCACAACCACAACCATAACCATAACAATAACAATAATACCAATAATAATACGAATGCTAACAACAACAAGAAGAAGAAGAAGAAGAAGAAGAAGAACAACAACAACAACAACAACAACAACAACAACAACAACAACAACAACAACACCAAGAACAAGAACAATAACAACATCAACAACAACTAGAACAAGAACAACAACATCAACAACACGAGTGAGAATAAGAGGAAGAAGAAGGAGGAGAAGAAGAAGAAGAAATCCAATAAAAAGAATAAGAAGAAGAAGAAGAAGAAGAAGAGGGGGGAGAGGCGGAGCGCTCCGCGCCCCACGAGCCGACCCCAAAAGCCCACTCCGAGGCTCAGCCTCCCCCCCTCCCTCGGCCGTGTCTGGCGCAGCGACCTCGCGCCGACTGCAAATGGTGCCAACTGCTACGGGAAGGAGAGAGAGCCCAGAGATTCGACGCTCCGAAAAAGTTGGAGTGGCTGGTTTCTGTCCGCCTTCGGCCTCTGGGGGCCCTCGCTGGGCTTCGGGACCGTCAAAAACTACCCAGGACAAGAACCGGGCCCCAGGAGAGTGGTCCAGACCTCTGGGGCCCGCGCATCCACAAAATTGGAGCGACTGGATGTCTGAGAAGGTTCCATGCCCCTCTCCCAGCAAGCGGTGCAGCGTGCTCGCTTGGGCGGCGCGCAGAGAAAGGGGGTGGGACGACGGTGGGAGGCTCGACGGAAGCCCTACCACGAGACGCGATCTTAGAAGCCTCCGATCCCTTCTAAGAGACGCCCTGACCTCTCAGAAAGCCGCCCCCATCGTCACGCCACCGACCCGCGATCCGTTCACAACTGGTCGCCCAGACCCTTCCTGGTCCGTTCTGGCCCACCTTTCGAGCTGCACCCAGCCGTGGCCTCGTAGACGCCCCGGGAGGCCCAACCACAGCAAAAAGGTCAAAAACCTGCATTCCTGGATCCTCCGTCTTCGATCCTGTGCAGCAAGCCCTCGCCTGTCATATCCTCAGGTCTCTAGCTTCAGGTATCACTGTCAAAAACACTCGGCGAACGCAACTTCGTTCCAAATACAAAAAAAAATCTAGTTTGTGAAGCTGATATTCGAGGCCTTCCTCGCCGTGCTCTGAGCCTCGTCTCAGGTGTGAAAGCTCTACGAGGGCTCCGGCGGTAGCATCTGCCCCGTCTGTCCAGGCGCTCGCGCGCCATCCGGGGCCCGACCCCCGTGGCCCGCTGGCGCACCGTTGGCTCCCTCGCTCGACCTGCGCGGTCCTGCCCTCGCGGACGGCCGCCGACCCGCGCGCTGGCCCGCGCTCAGCGCGCGGAGGCGCCCGCTGCTGCCTGCGCGGGACACCGTCGCCCCGAGCCCCTCTTCCACAAGAAGACAAGAGGCTGCACAAGCATAGACCCTCGGAGGTCTGCGCGGATTCCTTGGATCCGCACCGATGCCGCCTCCCTGGCGCGCAAAGAGCGCGCCAGGGGGGCGGCGCCGGAGGCGCCGCCAGTGACGCAGTCCAGAGCTGATCCCAGAAGTCTCCCCGAACCTCCGAGAGGTATCTCTACGGTCTGGAGCTCTTTTGCTCGGCGTGTCGCCGCCGCGGCCCTGGCGGCACGCTGCGCCCTGCAGGCGGACAGCGTGTCGCTCCCGCTCCGCTCCGCCCGGGGGAAAGCCTCGAGACGTTGCCGCCCGGGGACTTGGAAGTGGACAACACGTCGCGCTGAGGCGTCGTGGACCAGAACCGGCGGCGCGACACGCTGAGCCGCAAAGCCAAAAATCCCGACATATATATATATATATATATATATATATATAATATATATATTATATACATATACATATATATATATATATATATATATATATATATTCCTCTTCCTATATTTTTACAAGCCCGGGGGGGGGGGAAAAACCATCCCCCCCCCCCTAAAACTGGACCCCCGGGATCTGGGGTTC